ACTGCTACCATAACAGAGGCCACAACATCTTGGTCTTCATATATTCTATTAACTTAGCCTTGCCTACTAAAAGATGTTCTCAGCCAGGTTTGATGGCAACTTCGTCATGGTTTAGGCCTCATTCGTAACCTTAACAGGATTCGAAACTGAACGAAACGTTACTACTCAGATACATAGCCTGGGATGTCGGTGGGCCAAGGGGCAGATGTGATCATTGAAACATACTCACATCTAATATAAGACTTTATACTGTTGCAGCGTGAGCAGATGTTCACTGGGGAATAGGAAACAATAAGGTACATCACGACTTAGATCCGGATAACTAAGAGCAACTGATTTATTGGGAATGAGGTCATTATGATGACTTTCATTTCATGCAAAAGGGCTAATGAAGAGATTCATAAGTCCTTAGTGAGAAGGTTTTGAGCCTATTAGTCGATCTTGAATAAAATCTTTAGACATTTTATGCGACCAAAGATGAGTAAAATACTGATTTAAGATCTACAGATAGTCTCGGGACCTACTCACTACGAATCTGATTTACAAATGTTTTGAATACTTGCCCTTTCAATCTGAGCTCTAGCCACTAGCTTTCTACGCTCTTTTTCCTTCGCCAGAATCCATCTCTCCCAGGCGGTCAGCTCTCCCCGGTCGGATGTAGTGAGCTTGAGCTGGCTTTCAGGCGGCCATTGGGCTTCGTGATCTGTTGATTTCGACTGGACAGGCACAGCTTCTACTTGCTCAACGGTTGAACTGGCCTCTGCTTCAGATGCCGAACTGCCAGTGAGCCTCATGGCATCCAAAGTGTCACCTTTTGAGTCAAGAGACTTCACTATTCGTGTTTTAACCACTTGTTCCCTGTCGACAGTAGAGGGCCTGCCACTTACTGGACGGCCACCCGTCGGTCTGGATAAGACTCGCTGAGGTCTGGCTGAGGCCATGCGGACGATTGGCTGACTTGATGCAGTAACTGAGGCGAAGACAGGGATTGAGGAAGTTGAGACAGCAGTCGGTCGGGACAGGCTACGAGCGCGTGATTGTGACTCATACAAATAAGCATCAGAACTTCACCGGTCCAAAATAGTTGGCATGTTCAGTGAAAAAAGAGTTTAAATGACATAGATGCATATACCGTAGGAATTACATGGTAGGAGATCGAAAGAAGGCAAATAGATTGCATCTTAAGAAGGCCTCTGTAGAAACTCAGTACCAGAAATTTTTCTGTATTAAGGATAAATTTATTCAAATTCCTCTTTAGTTTCCTCCTGAGGAGTTTTGTATCAAATATGTTTGGATGAGAGGCTATGTGGTCACTGAATAAAAGTTGGGCTTTGAACAAATTCAAAAGGAATCGATCATATCTCATTCTCCTTTTATACATTTTGTGATTTAGTAACTTAGTAACTAATTTCAGTGTTGTACTATCACTCTACGATCCATATTTTGATCATGCTGCTTATTATTTCAGATATTAGAAAAGTAGAAAGCTAACACACTAAGTAGTTTTCAAAACTATCAGTATATCTTAAATAAGAATTATATAGTCCGATGAATTGGGCTTAAGTACTTTCATGAATACCTGCTAACCATTAACTACTAATTCTGCTACCTGTTTAATTACGCAAATCATAAGCAGACTGTTAATCATAATAAAACTTTAAAAATATAATGTAACTATGAGAAGAACTAAACATGTTCCAATGTTACGTATGACATATATTACCGTATTACTATATGTTACGAAATATTAAAGAGACATTTTGTCTGACTTAGTGACCTGTTGAAATG